GATGCCGAGGGCTTGACAATGCCGAAGGCTCATGTTTTTTGCCGTTTTCTCCCAGTAGCTTTTTATGCCAGAGAAGGCTATTCTGTGAGTTTTGGAGCCTTCGGCCAAGGAGGCCGAAGGCACCCCAGCGTGTATTCTGGGCTACTTTGAGGCTTGGGCCGTTGTATTTGGGCCTGAGTTGTTCCCTGAGCCTAATGGACTTATGTAGGAGAAGTAGGAGTCTATGGGCCGGGGGTTCCTGGGCCATATACTCCATCAATATTCTCTATAACTTTTAAGTGATGTTTTTCATTGAATAGGTTTTAGTCTTTGATCAAATCAGACTTACACAAATTTTACTAGATCAAATAGACTAGACCAAATTAAACTTCAACAATTGTAGAAAAAAAATCTAAACATCTACCAGACAAGATGAAATAAGTTCAGATCAGATCAGACCATAAAATTCCGGTCTAAAAAAACATCCTTATTTGGATGTAATAATAATAATGTATTGAAAAGAATTTAAAATAATGAAGGTAGGATAATACTAATCTAAACTGGCTTCGTTTAATGTAGGCCTGAGTCCGAAAAATCGAAACCGAAAACTGAATCAAATTAAACCGAACCGTGACCAAATAAAATCGAACCGCTAAAAAACCGAAATCGAATGTAAAAACCCGAACCGAACCGTAGTAGTTTGGTTCGGTTTTTGTTTTTACCCTTTAAAACCGAACCGAACCGAACAAACCGAACTAAAATAAAATATGAAATTTTATTTGTTAAATGTAAGCACTAATCTTTATATCATCAATAATCTTTGAATTTCTTGTGCTAGAGAAAAAATGTTTGTGTTATGTTTAGTTTAGTTTATAAATGCATTTACATGTCTATATTGATCTATTATGTCTTCTATGTATGTGTGTTGCAATTTATTGCATGATTATATGTTTTTACGAGTTATTAGTAGTAGTAATTAACTTTTATTTTTATGTAACTTAATTTTTTTGTAACTTAATTTTTTTATGTTGATAAAACAAATAAATATTCATCCGTTCATCCCAGCTATATCACATAGGACGTATGTATTCATAAACTTTTTTCAAACTAGTCACAAATAATGTAAATTTAGAATATATATACACTTTTATCTCTCCCGCATACCCATATAAATCAAGACATATTTGTTATTACTCCATATTATTTTCTTTATTTGTTCAAGTATGCTTGCATTTTTATGTGATATGTTTGGTCCCTCCAACTTTTATATCAATTTTAAATCATATGATTTTTTTGTAAAAAAATCGAAAAAATTGAAACCGAAGCGAAACAAACCGAACCGATCAAACCGTGGTTCCAAGCTTTGGAGTGTAAAACCGAACCGAAACCGAACCGAACTTTGACTTTGATTCCGTATTTGGTTTTACGTCAAAACAGAACGAAAGAACCCAACCCATCCCTAATTTAATGAATGGATAACAATGAAAAGATTTTAGAAAACAAAACACGAACACGTGAGGGAAGAAACTAATCGAGAATAGCTAACAGAAAATCCTGATATGTGGAAAAACGCCTTTTCAGATCGGGGTAGTAGTAAATGTGAAAATTATTTACCAAATGCATTTTAGCTGGTCAACACAAATGACATGAAATTGGTCAAACCAATTAAAATCTTACACAACGTGATGCCATCCACCAAATTTCAGAGTCTTATATATTCGACGGATCAAAATTGTTCGATCGGGGGATAAAAAATAAAAATGCACCAATTTATAATATAGTGATTATGTTTCAAATTTACACCTTAAAAATTTCCATAGATTAAATTTTATTTCACAAATATTAAACTAAAGGGAGATCTCAATAATATATCATTAACTTGCAGGAAAATTGACCACATATTCATCATAACTTGTAACTTTTTTAAGTACAACCGACGGATCTTGTTGCATAGTTATATGAATTTAGTCTAGTTAATAAAATCTTTATCTACTAATTATGTCTAGTCCGGTACGTCTTGCTTTTCAAAATAGCCAAATAATCACATTACGTTCCATGAAATAAGTGATTGGTTGATGAATAAGTTGAAAATCATTGCTGTATTTTGACTACAAAATTGGTAAAACTAAAAGCAAATGGAGATTTTGATATGTAAAGTCGGTGCAATTTGAGGTTGTAGATAGGGGTGTGCATGGGACGGTACGGGACAGTTGTTTTGAAAATCTGTCTCATTCTATCCCAAAGTACGGTTTTTTAAAAAATTAAAGAACTTATCCCGTTCTGTATCAATTTTAAGTACGCTTCTTTAGTATTATCCGATTTCTAAGTTATTAACTCCCATGAATTCAAAAATATTTTAAATTTTAGCATTTATAAGTAAGTAATTGTAAAAAAAATTAAGAGAAGAGAATGCAGGATTGAAAAGTCTACGTCAAACTAACCTTGTGCAATCAAATTTGACTGAAATACGAAGTTAATAGTCAAACTTTAATAAAATTATAGTTCTGGAGGATGCAGAGTAGCTGAGGTTGCTGACAAAGTAACCGAACTAGGTTTATATGTTCTGTATCATAGTTTTTTTTAAACTCCAGGGGCGTCTGGGGGAGGGGGGGGAGGGGGGGGCTTTGGAGTAATCAAGGCTGAAACTCATTCTATTGAGTTTCGAACCCGATACCTCCAGTAAGGGAGAGTGAGTCAGCAACCAGCTGGGCTGGACCGCTTCCTCATGTTCTGTATGTATCATAGTTATTACTAGTATCATTTGTAAAGTTTAGTACACTAAATAATTGTATTGGGGATCTAAAGAGTGCATTATACGGTTTATACCAAAGCTTTCAGTAATCACAATGTATATTATTGACTAATAGAAATAAATAATATACTACGAGTAATATATATAAAGTATATATTATTTTGAATAATAACCAATTTTCAAGACATAAGCAATGGTTCGGGATAGTTAAGTTCCATACGATTTTGGGACGGTTGTAGAATGGTTCTCACTTAAGAATCGGTGTTGTACTATATTATTAAAAAAAATTCGGGTAGTACGTTTTTTATATTTTTCTCGTTCATTCGATTTTGGTACAATTTGGGGCAGTTCTCGACACGGAATGAGAAATTCCAAATCCATGCTCAGTCCTAGTTGTAGATCCGGTTCATTGGCTCTCATTATAACTCAAAATAGAATACAATCAAAATAAAATAAGTGATTTTCATATGATATAATCTGATCTTAAAATATCAAATTTTGGTAATTCAATTCAATTCATTTCACTTTGGCCTCACTTTTCTTTTCTTTTTTAAAAAAAACATCTATTGATTAAAAACTATGGAATAGAGCATAATACCGCGTATTGCACTCATAAACTTATAGTCTATCCAAAAGTAAGTATTGCACTCATAAACTTATAGTCTATCCAAAAGTAACAACGCAATCACACTTCTAACTAAACTTTGCAAACCTCTTTAAACTATTTAATAGTCTAAATGAAATTGTCATATTCTCTGTACTTAATCCAATCATACATTTCTTATTTTATTATTACAAGTGCAAATCAAAACCTATTAGACCATTTGTAGTGGTAAGGTATTAGGAGTCTAAAATGTTAAAAGTGGAGATTTTAGACTCCTAATTTCTTACATTGGAGAGCATTATAGGAGGCTAAAAATGGAGATGGGGAGGGAGGAGTCCAATTTTAGCCGGCCGATTGACTCTAGTGGAAGTGCTACTTTGCCAAAAAGAAAGGAATCATGAGTGGTGGGTAGTTAGTGGGTTCCATAAAATAAAACCTCATCTTTCTTAAAATGGTTATAATTTGTTTTTTCATAAATCAAATTTAGAAAAAATATATATCAAAATTCATAATTTTTTATACTCTTTCATATGACACCAATATGTAATATATAAAAAGAAAAAAAAATCTAAAATTTTAACTGTTGAAATTTTCATGAGCCCAAAAAAATACAAAACAATTTTTTTTAATTCATGTAGCCTTCACAAATAACTTAATATTCCGTAATCGAACTTTATTTGAACTAAGTTCATTTTTTGTTAACCGAAAAATGTTAAAAAATTTAATGAAATTTATTTATTTTTACATCGAAATGTATATTTTTACTTCAAAATTATTCAGGGATTAGGTTAAAAAGAAAAATATTACTTATAATAATTTAATTAATGTTTTACTAAATTGATATGTAAAAAAATGTGCAGAGTGTATTTTATTGACGGTGCTGGAATGTAAAGAAATAGGAGTCAAAACACTGTTTTCATATGAACGGAGTCTATTTTTGACATTTTGACTCTCACACCACTCCAAATGGTCTTACATGGTGAGTTTTTTGAGAGGAGTGAAAACAGTTTAAAAGAAATAATAAATGTACTTTTGAGAGGAGTTATAAAAGTCAAATCTAACTGAAACCAAATAGCTAGAGGTTTACATTTCGGTTTCTACTTTTTGGCTCAATTTTTACTTTTGAGTTTCACCATACCCCCACCCCAAGTCCCCAACTCTTATGCAACTTAAGAGTAACAACCGTACTACTCGTACATGCTCAAATAGCTCGTGCCCACACAAATAGTTTTAGTTTTAGTAAAAGGATGTGTCAATGATTCTGAATTGTCTGTATAAGACCATTCATTTTCATTTTTAGAGAATCACAGAAACTTACATTTTCTAAAATTAAAATCAATTATTTGCATATAATCATTACACTTGGACGTGTAAACCGATATGTAATCTGGCGTATACAAGTATCATATTTCTGAAAGTAAATGTAAAAAAATGACTATGAGGGTGTTTGGAATTGATTCTGCTTCTACTCTTTTTTAAAGCAGAATCAGAATCAGTATTAGTTTTCAGAAGCTGGTCTCCCCCAACTGCTAAAAACTGATTTTAGGAGTGAATTAAAACACCAGAATCACTTCTGCACTTTCGCCCAAAGCTTCTGGTTCTGCTCTCCAGAGGAGCAGAAGGATCCAAACACCCCTATGTCGTCCCTTTGCCAATTCAAAACCCATTTTTTTCTTCTTCTTCTTGTTTCAACTCTATTATCCACTTATTTAGTGTCCTTTTGGAAATTAACGGCCAAGACATCTAAGCGGAATTACAACGGACCAAAAATAGCGCCAAAGCCGTGACAATGGCGACCTTTTCCCTCGAGAACTCATCCCGAGCTTTATGATTGTTTCTTCTCCATCTCTTTCTTCCTTGCTTGAGGTCCCCTCCTACTTTTGCGCCGGTTTTATAGACCCAACTTTGTATATTTTCACACTCACCCCCTTTTCAATCATCCCACTCCACTCCCTCTCATCTCAAGTCTCAACCTTTCTATTCTCAAAATCTTTACCGTTTCTTGATTCTTTCTTGTGCCCAAGACAGTAGCAGTGGATGATTCAGAGATTTCTCCTTTGGTTTCTAGAATTTCAGCTCCCATGACTTCTTGATCTGTAAATTTCTTTGCATATCTATTTTCTCTCTTAAAGGTTCTTCCTTTTTCCTTTCTACAAGGTCTGGGGTGTTTTCTTTTTCTTCCAATAGATGAGAAACGAAAACATGGTAGTGTGTTATGTTTCCTTTTACTCTCTGGGAGTTCTCTCAATCTGAAAATACGGCCAAAATGATTGGAAGCTATGAAACTGAGACTTAAAATCTCATAAATTTATATTTGACCTATTTTTACGTTACTTTTCAATGAACTGTCCTTCAAGAAAAGTATATAAATTTAATAACATATGTGCTCATTAATATCCCTGAGTCCCGGAATAAAAGTGGTCCTAAATATATGTTTATGCAAGCTGTTTTTTGTCTTTTTTCTGCAATGAATTGGGATTATGATCTTAGGGTCTTGTTTGTATGCACATCAATGATCTGTTGTTTCTTATAGGTGATCTGAGCAGCTGCCTTACAAAGCAGTCTCCTGCCAATTAGTGAGGTATATCTGAACCCTGTTTCTAGCTATTTTTAAAATAGATTATGATACAAATCAGGATTGGATTGGGAGATCATTAAGCATTCGAGACTCGAGTTAAATAAGACTGGAAGATTCAATTGAATTGATTAAGTAGGTTAACCCAAGATGTTATTAACTGATCTGCTTCTTCAATTTTTTTGAAAGGATCTACTTCTTCAATATTCTGATTTAAAACTCTAACAATTCAATTCATTGTATGCATTATCTAAAATAAAAATGTATGATGTATCCCTTCATAAGACATTGCTCCATGATATGGGTTGCTTTGAAATCCCTGTGGTTTGTGTCACTTCATGCTTTGATTTAATTATGGCTCCCTTCTGTACTATGGTAAAAGATGATAAACAGAAAAGAAGTTCCTATGTACTATTCAATTCCTCGTTATGGATTCAGTTCCTTTTTCGCACTCACTCGAGAAACTGTCACTAGAAATATTATATCTTTTTAGTGTTTGATTCTTGTTTACTATTGATTATAAGAACCATTATGAAAACTCTTAAAAAGTTAATGCGATAGAAGGAATAGTCAAAGATCTTATGAGTTTGTATCTTTATATTTGGTTAGATGGTTTAGAATCATTTATTTGGTTAGCTTTCCCTTATACGCTGGTTCAAACTGGTATGGATTTATTGGGTGACTGTGAATGTAGATGGCGAAGGAGTATGGTGGATCCCCAAAGCTTCAACAGCTGGAAACAAGGAGAAAACAGCTGACTTGGATTTTGGGAGTAAGTGGTCTTTGCATTGTTTTCTATATTCTTGGAGCTTGGCAGAGTACAACCTCAATCCCTGCTGGTCAATCCGAAGTCTATACGCGTGTTGGGTGTGACAATGCGTCATCATCTGGAAAAGGAAACACCGAAAATCCAGCAATGGCACAACAGACAGCTCCACTTGATTTTGAAAGCCATCACCAGTTAGAGGTGAGCGATGACGCCGAGGAGCATAAAAACATCCCACCTTGTAATATGTCATACAGCGAGTACACCCCTTGCCAGCACCCACCCAGAGGTAGGTTGTTTCCTCGTGAAATGTTGAAGTACAGGGAGAGGCATTGCCCTACAAAGGATGAGCTCCTCACCTGCCTCATTCCTGCTCCACCAAACTACAAGAAGCCTTTCAAGTGGCCTCAAAGTAGGGACTATGCCTGGTTTGCTAATATCCCCCACAAAGAGCTTAGTGTTGAGAAGGCTGTTCAGAACTGGGTCCAAGTTGAAGGTGACCGCCTCCGGTTTCCAGGTGGTGGCACCATGTTTCCGCGTGGGGCTGATGCTTACATAGATGATATTAGTGAGCTTATTCCCCTTACAAGTGGAGCAATTCGAACCGCAGTTGATACTGGTTGTGGGGTAAGAAAACTCTGCCCCCTACTCTATTCTTCTTCTTCTCGTGGTCTCGTCTTGTGGCGTAGTGTAATGTGATACTATATAAGTGACACTTCTTCTAGACTGTGCAATTTGTTAGTAATGCTAGTGTGTATTAATATGAATATTTAACATGACATTCCTATGATACATACCGAGGAAAAGTTGGATCATCACTCAAATAATATGACACAAGAATGTCTTCCCAGAATGTCTAAATTGAATTTACCCCTGCCATTACTCTTTATTCATACAGGCATGTATTTGCATGACTTGAATCAAAGGTATAATTAAAAGGACATTACCTGATTATCTTATATGTTTGTTTGTTGCGTTATATTTAGCCGATATGGGGTAAACTCTTCAACAAATTCGTTTTTAACTACTAGCTTGCTGTCCATTCAACTCATCTTTATTGCATATGGAATTTGAATACTGCAAGGTTGCAAGTTGGGGTGCTTATTTGTTGAAGCGAGACATAGTGGCAATGTCATTTGCTCCAAGAGATACACATGAAGCGCAGGTATGGTTTGCACTGGAGAGAGGAGTTCCAGCTATGATTGGGGTCATGGGTTCTCAAAGACTTCCATATCCTGCAAGAGCTTTTGATATGGCTCACTGCTCACGCTGCTTGATACCTTGGGCCGCGAGTGGTAAGTGTGATAAAGAGATACAATAAGATCATCCAATTATTAGAAGATAGGATATTGTTTGCACATTCTCAATCTCAGTTGGAGTGTTTATCTTTTGTGGTGGTTACAGATGGGCTGTATTTAACTGAAGTTGACAGAGTGCTTAGGCCCGGAGGGTACTGGATACTTTCGGGCCCTCCTATCAACTGGAAGCAATACTGGAGAGGGTGGGAGAGGACCAAAGAAGATTTGAAGCAAGAGCAGGACTCCATTGAGGATGTCGCCAGACGATTGTGCTGGAAAAAGGTCATTGAAAAGGGTGATCTTTCTGTCTGGCAAAAGCCCATTAACCACCATGCCTGTTCCCGGAGAAGATCCATGTCCAATACACTGTCCATTTGCCAGTCAAATGATGCTGATGCAGCTTGGTATGTTCTCAACTAACTTTCTGCCAGTCATATATTGTTATAAGGGCTAAGCGGAGACCATTAAGACCTGTGATTTCGTCCTGAAATAAGCAGATGGAAAATAATGCTCTATTTTTTAGTATTAGTCAATCGAGTTACTTATTTGACCATACTAGGTTTTGCTACTATATTAAAACTTGGACATTCATCCTAAAAGATATTTTTGTAATAGTAGTATGATATGCTGAGTTTTTAACTTCATATTTGGCCGGTAGAGAATGTATTTAGAAGGACTAAGGGCGTTATAAGGTACCTGATTGGGAGAAACTTAGGCAGTGAAGTGGCTTAGCGGGGGTTGATGGGGTTTAGGCAGGAACTTTTACATTTATGTATACAATTAACAATATATTGATCGTTTACCTCCGAAACTCATGAAGCGTCTTTTTCTTGACAAAGGTACAAAGATATGGAATCATGTATAACACCACTGCCCGAGGTAAGCAACGTGAATGAGGTGGCAGGGGGTGCATTAGAGAACTGGCCAGAGCGTGCATTTGCTGTCCCACCCAGGATTAGCAGTGGCTCATTACAGGGGATCACAGCTGACACATTCAAAGAGGATAATGAAGTGTGGAAGCAAAGGGTTGCATATTATAAGAATATTGCGAGTCCCTTACACCAAGGGCAGTACCGGAACGTAATGGACATGAATGCTAATTTAGGTGGGTTTGCAGCTGCATTGTTGAAGTATCCGGTGTGGGTAATGAATGTGGTCCCAGCTAACATACAACCAGACACCTTGGGCGTAATCTATGAACGAGGCTTCATTGGAACATACCAAGATTGGTGCGAAGCGTTCTCTACCTATCCACGAACGTATGATCTCATCCATGCAGGCCAAGTCTTCAGCTTATATAAAGACAGGTAACCATGAGTAATACTGCATTCACTTCAGGGATGCAAATACCATTTTATTTAAAGTTATGTATATTGTACTACGGCACTACGCATTAAGGTAGTCCAACATCGGATATTACAGGATTCTTAAGAATTCTTATAGTTATGATAAAATAAGGATATCACATAAAAAATGCCATCATGGTGTTGAACCTTAATGAGAACATATCACTTTTTTGTAACCGTTGCTCTTGCGGTTTTGCTACTTTTCTTTCTCTTCCTAACTTCGCATTCTTCAATTTTGTGGATGAAGGTGTGACATTGTCAATATCCTCCTCGAGATGGACAGGATCCTAAGGCCAGAAGGGACTGTCATATTCAGAGATGCAGTTGAAGTTTTGGTGAAGATCAAAGGTGTAACAGATAGAATGAGATGGGAAAGTCGGATTGTAGATCATGAAACGGGACCATTTAACCCGGAGAAGATTCTTGTGTCTGTGAAAAGTTACTGGACGGGAAGCACTTAAATAAGGCTGTTTTGTCCCCCTTGGCTTAAAGTATAGGATATACTTCGTATCTAATACCTTCAACATGTTTTTTCATAAGTAATAACAACACTCTTTTACTTGTGCAGGAAGAAGGTACATAGATTGTAGAGTAGTACTGGAACATGGAATCAACCCCCCCCCCCCCCCCTCCCTCCCTCCAACTTTCTATTGATATACTTATTCTTTAATTATATCTTGAAAGGGTGATGGCTGTAGAGCCAAGTGCCTTCATTAAATCAACTGTAAACGTTAATTTTCATAGTACCCTAGCTAGGTTCTTAGGATATTAATCAAGAATCTTAACAAACCTCCTCCTACCAAGTTCTTAAACTTTAGGGTATGTTTGGGACTTGGGTTTTGGAGGGGAGGGGAAGGTTTAATTTACGGGGGTTTAAGACCATGTTTGGGTGTTTAAAAATTGGAGAAGATGGTTTTGGAGAGCTTTTGTTACCCTCCAAAACCATCTAAATGCTCAATTTTAAGTGATTTTGAAGGACAATTAATGAAATGAGAATTTAAGCTAGCTCAATTTAAAATGATTATGAGTTCAATTATTTGAATTCGTCATATTTCGAAGTGATTTTATTTAAATATAATTCATTCAAAGACTCTTGATCATTTTCCAAATCTATTACTACCAAATACAATAAATGGTTTCCCCACCTTTCCCTTCATTTTTCCCTCCAACAATATACCTTCAAAGTCTCTCATTTCCTCCAAACTCCCAAACATATCCTTGTGCCGTTGGGGTCAAGATCTTTATTGTGCAAACTCACAATGTGGTGATTCAGCACGAATCATGTAGTCGTTGGGGTGGACATGCATGGCTTGGTTCAAAATGGACTCTCCCAATCTTGAAAATTGGGATCTTTACTTGAAATTGGCTTGGGTTACTTTTTAAACTGTCATTTTCAAACAAGGTTCATAGTTAGGTTCCTAGTAATCCGAAATTGGCATTTGAGTATCATTACGCCAAAATTTTACAAATATATTTTGATTAATGATTTATAAATGTCACATACTAGTAGTACTTTATACGTATCACAATAAGTGTCTCATTTTCATTTTTTGACCGTATCAAAATAAGTGTCTCACTTCCATTTTAGGAAATAAATCCAACCCAAAAGCAGCTACAGTACACTTAAATAAAGTAAACAGTACTGCAAGTACAAATAATTTATTTTTTTTCAAAAAGTGTACAGTAAACCTATAAATTATCTCAAACCGCCTGAAAAGCCTACCGGGGAACTTATTTTAATTCGGAGGGAGTATATTTTACAAATTTATAAAAGGCCAAAGGATCAAATAGACCCTCAAACTAATTTAAAAAGTGCAATTCACACCCCTTATATAGATAGGAGGTTCTGTCCGGCCGTCGCCAATTGAGGCTCGGTGGAATTTTTTGATGAATTTTTTTGAGCATTTTCTTGATTAAGTTTAGTTTACCCATGCCAAATTTCAGATAAAAGTTCAACCCGGAAGATAGTCAAATGAATTTCTGAAATGTACTGTGAGGTTTAACTTCACAGTTTTCTTCAAAATTTTCATCAAAAAATAGGAAAACACATAATATATATGATTGGTCACATACAATACACTTATTTACAAAGTATCATTTAACAGGAGGAGGTCAATGAGTATACTTAATTAATCAAGGACTATTAAAAAAAAACTCTTAACAATTTGAATTCTTAAACGTGTTGTTCTGCACTTTTCTTTTGATGTTTAGAGACAATTAATATAATCAAATGTTGTGTAGGACTCAAAAATGTTTCCCATCTTTCCCAAAGTGTTTTTACAAAAATGCTTGCATGATACCATTCGATCTCTTTATCTAGATTTTTCAAAACACATGTAACATACTGACATACCAGTATATCTTAGATCACCTTACTCTCCAACTCCCTACTAGTTCAATAGTTATGAATATTTACCTTACAACACACCACACACATATGACATATACACAATATCCATCATATACGTGGGTCGATATATCATATATTCATATGCGAAGGAGGCGATTGCCAATGTGAAGGAGGCGCATTTTCACATTTGTAACTGTGATTGGTGGGAGGGATAATGTGGTCGACAATGATGATGCTACAATGGAGATGATTGAATTTAGGAAAAACTTAACATATGTAAAATCCATATTAATACCGTTTTGTCAAATTATTATGTAAATTTATTAACAAACAATATTAAAACTCAAAAGATAAAATTAAAATACTATTTAAAACCAGAAGAAATGTTTAGGTGCCAGCCTAGCTACTGGCCTAGCTAGGTGGGAATTAGGCGCTTGGCAGCCAACCACCACCCAATCAAGAGTGTAATTTTGTTCACCTCCTCATTTGGAGGGTGAACACAACCGTTCACCTCCTCATTTGGAGGGTGAACATAACCCTCAAGCATTTTAATATTAAAGGTACATAATCCTTTTCTCGCATTATGCCCATTATCTTGTATATATACGTAGGAAATGACATCTAGGATGTGAGGTCACTTTAATTTGTAACCATATCCTTTTAATTTCTTTCTCCTTATTTTGTTAAAGTGTTAAACCATACGAAGTATCATATATGCCCCCATCTTCTCAGTTTCAGAATTCCAGACATCCATATTTAGGGTTCTATTGAATATGGATTGTGGTAGACCCGTGGACTTTTAAAAAGTTAATAGACTTTTAAATTCATATTTTAAAAAATCAATTCTATTGGCTTTAAAGTCATGGATAAATCTATAGACTTCAAAATGTCCATGATTTTTTAAATTCAGACTGTCACTGCCTATTGTAATTTTATTTACCTAAATCGTCGCTACTGATTTGCTTTTCCACCTCAATCACCCGAGATTGCCGCCATCGTGATTGGACTGATCCGCCACAAATCAAATAACTTTGATTATGCAAGAGAATTAGGGGAAATTAATTATACGTAGTATATATTAATTAGGGAAATTTGCAATTTTCATCCCATAACTTTGGGTTGTTTCCATTATTAGTCTCGTAACTTTAGTCACTTGCAAAATTGGTCCTGTAACTAATTAATATTTACCATTTAATGACTTTTTCTCTGAAAATTTCACTTTCCAGTGATAATATCCCGGAAAAGATGCCACCTGTGTTAGATTTTTCTGCCTGAAAGCATACATTCCGATGAAAGTCCTTAAATTACAAAGATTTATTAGGTACATAACCAAATTTGAAAGTGACTAGAGTTGTAGGACTAGTAACGGTATAAGTCGAAAGTTACAGGACTAAAATTGTAAATTTTCATATTAATTAATTAAATTAGGAATATAAATGTAATAATTAGTCCTACTTAAGAAAAATTAAACATATGATCATACTTTTGTGGGGGTAATGTGATGTTTTAGTCCTACCATGACATATGTATAGCATGATAAGAAACAATTAAATATATAAATGAAACAAATGTAGTTCATCTAGCAACGCAGTATAACTATTAAAAAGAAAACTCAAAGTTTCAAGAATGCTCAACCATTTCGGTGTCTTTATAATCAATTTTTATTGTTATATTATACAAATCAATGAGTAAGAACATTTATCGTTACAAAAGCGTTACATTCATAGTTTTCTTTTGTTCTTAACTTGTTAAATTTTGTATACTTATATACGGTTATATATTTATTAATTTGAAATTATAATTTTATGTGTTAGTGGTTTAACGATTAAACACACTAATAGTTAAAATATTTTTTTTCTTAATTGTTAACTGATCGACGACGTATCAGAATTGCACTTATGTATATAATAGTATCAATTCTTATATCAGTTCTTCTAAAACTTCCAGAGTTGAATCAATATGGGATTAACGGTTCTTCAAATGGTTCCTAATTTTCTTTCAAGAACTGGACGGATCTCACCCTTACATTTTCCTTCATAAGAAGACACATGAAATATCATTTTTTAAGTTTATATATCTTGTGTATCAGTATGATGTATAAATCTCCTCGTTCAACTTTATTTATTGTAAAATAACAACAAATCAAAATTTAATGTTCAAATCTTGCATATTGAGACCATCTTGGTACCTACCTCCTGACCAAACCGGTACTAAGCTAGTCTAGGACTTGTTGACCGATTTGTGATTCCGGGTAAATAATTAGCCTAATCTGCAACTAGATCTATGCGTACTTGTGACGAGTAGAAGATAACACAAAAGTACATGGAATTCTTCGGTGAGGAGAAGTGACAATTGCATAAATTAATGTACTAAGAATGAGTTAAATTTTCACGAGAATCCATGAATTTAGAAGTCAATAACAATGAGCGAAAATTTGAATACACCTAGACTTTTATAGTTTTTAAAAATTTACACCAAATACAACTAGACTTTTGTACACTTTTAGAAGTCCACATCGAATACTTTAAACTTTTACTCCCCACTGTATATCGAAATTCAGTTCACTATAATACTATGAGAACTTTTCTTAACGTCAGAATTAGCTGAATCTGTTAAAATAAAATATGTTTGAGGCGGTTCAATAAGATGAATATACTAAATTATTTAAACAAATATTTAAAATATACTTTATTCGATTAATTTTGTTAAAATCAAGATAAGAATTTATATTACGAAGTATATACGATAGTCTCTGCCAAATTTAAAAGAAAAACGTTTGCATAGTTAAATTAAAAAATACTTCGTCATAATAAAAATCCTTCCAAAAGCAAATGAGGAGTAAGGATGTTTTTACTTGGACTGTAATTTGTCCCAGACCAGACCAGACCAGACTTGGATAGTTATAAAAATACAAAAAAACCAGACCAAATCAATTCAGATCAAGCCAGATCAGACCAGACCAGCAAATTACAGTCCAAGTAAAAACATCTTAACTTATGCAAGCATGTAAGTGTGTAAGAGTGTAAGGTACTCCTCCGTATACTTTTAATATTAAAAAATAAGAGGGTTATGTTCACCCTCCAAATGGGAGGTGAACAAAATTAAACTCCCCAATCAACCATCACCTTGTAGTACATTGAGCATAGCTATTTGCATGTTTGTAACTAAAAAATAGTAGTGTTGGTGAACAACCTAGCAGTTTAAACAATTTTTTTTCTTAACCCATACTATGTTTGTTGTGTGCTTTTGAAACATCTATCTCGTATAAACGAAACATTGTACTCAGCCCAAATTCCAAACAACATAACGTTGAATAGCAAACTTTCTTCACATTCTAAAGAGTGTCTATATGTTCAAATTACCATGACACTT